TGAGGAAATGTGTAACTTTTTTTGTAGCTCAGTATTTTCTGATTATTAAAAATAGTCCACAGATTTTTAAAAAATAGGTATCTATACCCTATAGGTAACGAACTTTATATATAATAAAAGACCGAACATATTTATTAGTATCTGTTTTAGTCTGTTTTGTGTTGCTATAACAGAAATACTTGAGACTGGGTAATTTATAAGGAAAAGAGGTTTATTTGGCTTACGGTTCTGGGACAGCTGCATCAGGCATGGGCCTCAGGCAGCATCTACTCATGGCCAAAAGTCGCAGGCAGCTGGCGGGTACAAGCAGATCACATGGCAAGAGGAATCAAGAGGGAGAGAGAGGGGTGGTGCCAGGGTCCTTTAAACAATCAGGTCTCATGGGAACTAATAGAGCGAGAACTCACTCACTACCACTCCTCCCCCAGGGAGAGCATTAGTCCGTTCATGAGGGATCCGCCCCCATGACTCAATCAGTTTCGTAATAACTTCGTATAGCATACATTATACGAAGGTACCAGCACTGCCACATTGGAGATCAAATTTCCACTTGAGTTTTGGAGGGGACAACACATCCAGACTCCATCAGTATCAAACATAATTATTTATTATTTTTTATTCAGATACTCTATAGTATTTATTTTTTAGTTTATCTGTCACAGACAGAGATGGAAGTATTTAATTCTTCTACCACTTTTAATTTCTCATTGCATTTTCTATTATTTTTGCTTTGTGTGTTTTGATGCACTGTTTTCTGCAACATATAGATTTATATTATAATGTGCTCTTCTTTGTTTTATATTTTATGCCTAGAATTCAACTTTATATCATTCAACTATAGTAACTACTGGGTCTTGTTCACATTTTTCTGCGAGTTTTTACTTTTGTTTTTGTTGTTATATGTTATTTTACTTCTATTTCATACACATTGCATATAGTGAAATTTTGTTCCCTCTTTGATTTGATGTTTTCCTTTTCATAAGTGTTTATCTCATTTTCATATAATGTTTAACATATATATTTATATCATTTTTATTTTATAATTTATTTTCAATTGTTATTCATTTTTTGTTCCTTTTTCTTTCTTTTTTTTTAGTGCATAGTGTTACCTTTCCTTAAAAGTCACTTTTGATAATTCAGAAGTTATATATAGTCTGCTTTTGTTAAACACTCACTTGTATAACCTTTGACACTTAGGAATTATAAACCTCAATCTATATTGTTTGATTTACAAACTTTAGAACTAGAACTGTTTTCTGACTCTTCTATTTGAAAGGTTAGGAAATGAACATACTTAAACTTCTTCCCGTCAATCTCTCATTCCTTATTTTTGTTAATATCCTCTGGGATTTATGTCGTCTATTATAGTTAAATTTTTATTACTTTTACATTTTGTAGCTCTTTTTTCAGTAGTTATTAGTATTTATATTCTGTTTTGTAAATTTTACCACAGTGTTTCTTTTTTGAATTGTATTAATTTTTTGTCTGTGAAATTTTTCTAAAATGAAACTTCAAGTATTTTTACTTTTTCGTATTTCTTAACCTATTTGTAACTTTCGGCACCATTGACTGTTATTACTGGTAAAATCCCATTACAAGGAACATTATTAGCAAACAGGCTACTATACAGTAGAGCATTTGGAATATCTGCAGATGGCCTGCAATATTTTGTTTATTAGGTTACAAAGAATTATCTTTTACAAACTATCCTAAACAACACACAATTTTTCTGTGTCCTGGTCATTGCTATGCTATAATCAAAGAGCCATATCTGCAAAGTGCTATATGAGTTTTATTGCAAATGTTGAAGTACATTTTTACTTTTGTTCGTTTCTTTACTAAGCATCTGTTAACATTTTACTTTCCTCTCTTTTAACAAATATTCCAGCCACCCATAAATTCAAGCAATATACCACCCAAACATTTTCTTGCTACTCCTGGCTCTTCCTTTTGAATCGGTGTTTCATTCTCATTACATGCTGCTCTAATCCTTCTATTGTTTTATCAGTTGAAGACAGACCTGTTTATTTTTTCTTCCCCATTGTAATACTAATTCTAGCTCAAAAAAAAAAATAGATTTTTAAAACCCGCTTTTATGGCATATATTCAATTAATAGTTTTATTCTACATTATTCCTTAAAGACAGACCTGTTTATTTTTTCTTCCCCATTGTAATACTAATTCTAGCTCAAAAAAAAAAAAAATAGATTTTTAAAACCCGCTTTTATGGCATATATTCAATTAATAGTTTTATTCTACATTATTCCTTCCTTTCTTCCCCTCCTCCGTCCCTCCTTTCCTCCCTCTTTCACTCCCTCTTTTCCTTCCTTCCTTCCTTCCTCTTGGCATGTAAAGAAAAGGGAAAAACTTCCAGAAAGAGATTGGAGCTTGATATGCTCAGGAAATGCTCCTTGAATTTATTTAGCTACATGGAGAATGGCAAAACACAAAGCTGGAAGGATTGACAGAGGACAGATAATGGGAAACATTATGGGTCTTAGAAAGGAGTTTGGATTTTTCTTTAAATGAAAAATATGGAGTTTTAAGCAAGACAATAATATTAATTTGTTTGGCTACTTTAGGGGGAATGGATTGGAAAGAAGCATAAAAATAAACAGTTTGAAAAGTTTTGTAACAGTCTGAGCCAGAGATAATTATAACCTCCAAAAGGAGTGGCAGTGGAGATGGAGAGAAGTGGGTAGATTTGTGGTTGACTTCGGAAATAAAATATGAAAGACTTGCTGATGGATTGTTCATGGGGAATGGTGGCCTAAGCTTCAAAGGAGCAGGGACTTTTGTAAGACAAGAGGGAATATTTATTTGTAGCAGTGGGGTGTTGGGGTGGGATAGAGCCAGGTTTTTGTTAAAACTAGAAGATAAATGGAAAGTTCTAAGAGGTATAAGGACTTCTCTAATCCTAGAGCAAAAGTTCTTGAGGGTACAAGATTCTATAGATAGTGGCTTGGGTCAGATTAAGAGATATTGAGGGCAATATGGGATTGGCAGTCAGAGTGATGATATATGCTTTGGGATCTTGGACTTCCTGCAGTGACTACAGTGAACAGGGTTATTAGGCATGATGGGATGTGTCCATCTGGGAGAGGAGAGCAATCTGACCTAATCATGTGGTCTTTAATGTTGGCTTTCAAGAAGGTTTCTTCCCTAGGCTGCAAGGACTCTGCCATAGAATCACAAAAATTTATTGCTACAAAGCACATAGAGAATATTTATGTTTTGAATATAGGGCAAGAACACTGACTTCTCTCACTTTTTTTGTAGCCTTAACATTCTGTAGGTGCCATAGAATGTTTTCCCAATATTGTATTTTTTAGAGTGAAAAATATTAGATGAAAAAGGCAAAACCTGTATGAGTTATCATGGCTATTTAGTTTATGTTTTTAATACATGTTTTTGTAGTTTTTTATTGTTTACCCCTGTTAAATTTTAGATTTTAAAGGAAGGGCTACATCAGTTTTTGTTTTTTGTTTTTTTTTTTGTCTTTTTTCATGTCCGGCAACGGATCGCAACCCTCAGTGTCGCGCCCGTACCGGACCGGGACTGGCAACGGGATCGCAACCCTCGGTGTCGCACCCACACCTCGCTCAGCCAGTGAGCGGGAACCAGTCTGTATGTGGGATCCGAACCCTCGGCGGGAGCGCCGCCGCGCTCCCAAGCGGCGCACCGTAGCAGTGCGCCACCGGGCCGGCCCATTAAAGGAGGGGCTACATCAGTTTTAAATTGTTCTGTAATGTCAAGAGCATGTTAGCGCTTACATGTCGTGTTCCATGTTCATCATAACATTTCACAACTAACAGTGACCCTTTCTTCCTAGACAAATGTCCTCAGAGGTTATTATTATAATTTTTTTTTAAAAACATATGTTGTAGTATATCGAAAACAGGATCACCAAGTTAAACCCTGGCTAGTGCAGAGTGTGAATGTGCTTCCTTTAGGCTATAATTTTGATTTAGATGCTTATAAAATAAAAGTTTGATTTAGAAGTACATTGGAATATTAACAGGAAGGTAATAATTCTGTTCATTCACAGATCAAAAGTAATGGAGTAGGAAATTATTCTTATAAATTCTGAAACCATACCTTCTCCTTTTTAAAAAAAAACTTAACATGGACCCTCCCTGACCATATAGGTCTCAAGTAATTATTTATGAATAGAATTCTGAAGACCTATAGTGAAGAGCATTCCTTTTACTTTTTCAGTATACACAAGGAAGTCTAACTAATAACAAATGATTTGTTCCAGAAGTTTCCATATGCCCACTTGTCCCCAACCCACCATTATGTGTCTCTGCCATTGAGGCAATGTGTTCTGTTATGCTGGAAAAACTACTGAGGACTGATGGTATATATTAAGCAAAGAGGAGGGCTATAAATAGAAACCCAGAGAATACCAGTATTAAAGACACAGGCAGCAAAAGAAGGGCAGATATCAAAGATTAAGAAGGAAATTTTAGAAAGGGATGAAAACAAGCTGGGAATGTTCAAAGATAAGATGGGAAGGCATGCAAGCCAAAAAAGAAAACAGTTTCAGGAAGAAGTGAGTTAGCCAGATCAGATGCCACAGAGAGCATCTTCAGATGAAGATGGGAAAATATCTATTGCATTTGACCATTAGGAATTGGTGACCTTACCGGCGCATTATGAATGCTGTGAGCAGAGCAGTATTTCAGTGTGTTGGAAAATAAATGAGAAGTGATAAAATGAAGACTGCAAGTGTGGACTATCAAAGACTCCTGTAATCCTTTTTCTAGTATTTTGCATAGTCTCTGATTATTTCATTTTGAAGCATTTGTAGTTGAAGTTGAAGATGTTAAATACAAATCATTTATAGCTCATTGCACAATTGACAGAAACATGCTATTTTTATATAAATGTAATAATTTATGTAGCTCTAAATACATAAAGTTTTTGAACACTTAAAGCACAGCTAAATGAAAATTGCTAATACAAATGCTAATTTTCTTTAATTTTCTTTTTTCAAGTCTTGGCTGCTTATGATTCAGCAGACAGAACAACTTAGTAGGATAATGAAGACACATGCAGAGGACCTAAACTCTGGACCTTTGCACAGGCTCACCATGATGATCAAGGACAAGCAGCAGGTGAAGAAGAGTTATATAGGCGTTCATCAGCAGATAGAGGCAGAGATGATCAAGGTTCGTCTTTCCATATTGGAACTCTTTAATTTGTTTTTTAAACTCACTGAAATATTTTATCTTGTTTGACTTTAAAAATTGTTTATTCATCATTTTCTGACAAGAAATAGATTTGATGTCTCTAAGTAATATTTTATTGAATATAAAACATTGATTATAAGATAGATTGTTATTTTATGTACTCCTAAGAAAGAAGAAAAATGCTGCCAATTAAACTATGACATGATGCTTTCTTATCTCTTAGAGTTTTTATTTTTTATTTCCTGAAATAGTTCTTATAGTCTTCTTAAAAAAATAAATTGTGTCATGTAACACTATTCATAAATAAAAAAGGAAATGTAGGCAAAATAATTTAGTTAAGGTATTCCTAAATTTTCTTCACATTTGGAGTCTGTCTCTTCTGGATACCTTTTTAAAACTGTTTTATTATGGAAATTTTTAAGTGTATGGAAGAAAAAAAATAGTAAAATGAACTCTCGGCTACCCATCACCCACGTAGTCACTATTTTTTTTTTTCTAATAGTTCCACCTACTTTTTCTTCTACACTGGATTATTTTAAAGAAAATCTCAGATATCTTTTTATTTATAAATATTTTAGTATGTATTGCTAAAATAAGGATTCTTTTAAAAAATATAACTACATCTTGTCATTAATCCACCTAAATAACAACGTTCCACCTACTTTTTCTTCTACACTGGATTATTTTAAAGAAAATCTCAGATATCTTTTTATCCATAAATATTTTAGTATGTATTGCTAAAATAAGGATTCTTTTAAAAAATATAACTACATCTTGTCATTAATCCACCTAAATAACAATAATTACTTAATGTTATTAGACATCCTATCCTATGTTCAAATGATTGTTTAAATGTTTTTTACAGTTGGTTTGTTTGAATCAGGATCCAAACATGGACAATATATACCATTTGAATGATAATTCTCTTTTAATCTGTAGGTTCCCCTTCCTGCCCCCTTTTAAAATATGCAATTTATTTTGGAAGAAACTGAATTATTGAATTATTCAATTCTATAGAACTGAATTTCCTCCTTTTGGAATTTTGCTGTTAGCATCTTATGATGTGATCTCATATATTCCTTTAGCCTTCATTTTTCCGGCAAACTGCAAGTTAGATGTAGAGGCTTGATAAGACTCTGGCTGTTTATTTTGGGCAAGAAAACGTCATAGTGGTGGTTTAGACTTCCTGGTGTTTCATATCAGGAGGCATGTAATATCTACTTGTTTATCTTTTTGTGATGTTGAACTTGGCTAATAGGTTCCAGTGTTTTCAACCTGATCAATCTATTAAAAAAGTTTCCCATCAGTGTAAGAAACTATTGATTAATGTTCATTGCTTAGACCCATTATTTTATTGGGATTTATACAATGGCAGTGTTTCACTTCTTTCATTTTCTAGTGCATTTACTATCTGGAATTTTTTGAAAACGTAGACTTTTTCCTATATCAACTATTTGGTTACCCTAAGGTATAGTTCATATAGGAAACATCAGATAAATGCTTGCTTTTACCAATTAATTCGAATAATGAATTGGTTCTTTAGCAACTTCAAAAGTTAACCAATGAGCTTTTTCATGAAAGGAGAATGATTTGAACTCATTTATATTTATATCATTTTTTTTTTACACAAGGGTGGTTTATTGACTCCACAGTTCAGTCATATTTGAATTGAGTTTGTCATTGACTAGCGCATGACTCACACAGACTTCTTAACAGATTTTCTAGAATCATGTTTCTTTTTTTTAATTTAAGGAAATTTGTTTATTTTTTAATTGAAATGTATTGATTGTACATACTTATGGAGTACAGAGATATTTGAATACATGTATACAATGTGTGATGATCAAATCAGTGTATTAGAAAATTCATCAACACACAAATTTATCCTTTCTTTGTGATGAGAACATTTGAGCTCTTCTTGCCTAGCCATTTGAGAACATATAGTAAATTACTGTTAATTATAGATGCTTAGCACTACTGTATACCATTAGAACTTATTTTTCCTATCTAGCTGTAATTTTGTGTCTGTTAATCAACCTCTCACTATCCCCTTCGCCCCTTCTTTTCTCAGCCTCTAGAAACCACAGTTCTACTCTCTACTTCTATAAATTCAACTTATTTTTAATTTTTTAGCTCTCACATATTAGTAAAAACATGCGGTATTTATCTTTCTTTGCCTGACTTATTTCACTTAACATAATGTCTTCCAGGCTCATCCATGTTGCTGCAAATAATAGGATTTCATTCTTTTTCATGGCTGCATAGTATTCCATTGTGTGTATATAACACATTTTCTTTATCCATTCATCTGTTGACAGATATCTAGGTTGATTCAATATCTTGGCTATTATGGATAGAGCTTCAGTAAACATGGGGATGCAGATATCTCTTTGGTGTGCTAATTTTCTTTTCTTTGGATCAATACCCTGCAGTGGGATTGCTGCATCATATGTTAGTTCTATTTTTAGTTTTTTGAGGAATCTCCATACAGGTTTCTATAATGGCTGTACAAATTTACATTCCCACCAATAATGTATAAGAGTTTCCCTTTCTCTGCATCCTTACTAGCATTTGTTATTTTTTATCTAGTTCTAATTGAGGTGAGGTGATATCTCATTGTGGTTTTGATTTGCATTTCACTGATGATTAGAGATATCAGCATTTTTTCATGTAACTGTTGGCCATTTGTATGTCTTCTTTTGAAAAATATCATTTGCCCATTTTTTAATAAGATATTGTTTTTGCTCTTGAGTTTAAGTTCCTTGTATATTCAGGATATTAATCCTTTGTCAGATGAATAGTTTGCAAGTATTTTCTCCCATTCTGGTAGTTGCCTCTTCACTCTGTTGTTTCTTTTCCTGTGCAGAAGCTTTTAGTTTGATGTAATTCCACTTTTCTATTATTGCTTTGTTTTCTTCTAGGAGTTTTATAGTTTCAGGTCTTACATTTAAGTCTTTTATCCATTTTGAGTAGATTTTGGTATGTGGTAACTGATAGGAGTCTAGTTTCTTTCTTTGGCATATGGATATCCAGTTGTCCCATTTATTGAAGAGGCTGTCCTTTCCCCAATGCATGTTCTTGGCACCTTTGTCAAAGACCAGTTGGCTGTAAATATGTGGATTTATTTCTATGTTCTGTATTCTGTTCCATTGATCCAATGCCTGTTTTTATGCTAGTAGCATACTGTTTTGATTACTATAGCTTTGTAGTATATTTTGGAGTCAGGTAGTGTAATGCTTCTAGCTTTGTGCTTTTTGCTCAGGATTGCTTTGGCTATTCAGGGTCTTTCGTGGTTTCATATGAATTTTAGGATTGCTTTTTCTATTTCTGTGAGGAATGTCATTGGTATTTAGATAGGGATTGCACTGAATCTATAGAATGCTTTGGGAAGTATGGTCCTTTTGACAATATTCTTCCAATCCACGAGCATGTAATGTCTTTCCACTTTTTTGTGTCCTTCTTAATTTTTTTCATTGTAAAGTTGTCTTGTTTTGTAATTTTCATTGTAGAGATTTTTTTACCTCCTTTGTTAAATTTATTCCTAGATATTTTATTTTTTCAGTTGCTATTGTAAATGGGCTTACTTTCTTGATTTCTTTTTCTGCTTATTCATTGTTGGTATATAGAAACACTATTGATTTTTGCATATTGATTTTATATCCTGAAACTTTACTGAGTTTGTTTATCAGCTCTAAGAATTTTTTGGTTGTGACTTTAGGTTTTTCTCTATGTAGGATCATGTCATCCACAAACAGGGACAATTTGACTTCATCTTTTCCAAGTTGGATGCCCTTTCTTTCTTTCTCTTGTCTAATTGCTCTGACTAGAACTTCCAATGCTTTGTTAAAGAAGAGTGATGAGAGTGGGCATCCTTGTCTTGCTCCTATTCTTAGATTAAAAGCTTTCACCTTTTCCCTGCGTGGGGAAAACATGGTATATCACGTTTATTGATTTGCATATGTCGAACCATACTTGCATCGCTGCGATAAATTCCACTTGATTATGGTGGATCTTTTTGATGTGATATGGAGTTTGGTTTGCTAGTATTTGGTTGAGAATTTTTGCACCTATGTTCATCAGAAATTCTTGCTTATAGTTTTCTCATTTATATTTATATCATTGTTGTTGCTATTTTTGTTTATTCACACAATGTTGTTCTTTGTGCCATCAAAACATTGATAATACAAAATTTCTTTTTGGGGGCTCTGGCATTTTCTTCTATGTTGCTGATTCCTCTTTTGCAAGTTGTTGATGCTGTTGCTTTCTTAGTCTTCTCAGAAGGTATATTTGCAGATGTGCAGATGACATTGGGGACTCATGTTTTCTCCTCACATCATATTTAAATGGCTTTGTGACTTCAGAGTTAAGGAGTTGCAATTGTTTAGTTATTCCATAGAAATAATAACCAAATTCATGTGTGCATGCAGTGACCACTGTCAAGACTGTTGCCTGTCTGACAGTGATTGTTCCTGTATATGAAATGCATCCTCTTTTCAGAGTTGTTAAAATGTGAAAAAAAAATGCATATTAGAACTGGTGAAATATAATTCAAAATTACTTTATATAATTAAAATAAACATTTTAATTCATTTTTTTAATTACAGAAAATATTTCTGTACATAGCAAATTAATTAGTTGGTGTTTAAATTTTAGATGATGACAGCATTATCCTTGATTTGTTATTTTTAAGAAGTTAGTATCTGTGTTTATATGCTATTGAGTTTCATTGATTTTTAAACTAGTTTTTAGTTTATTGTCTATAATTTACATTAAAGAGCAACTCTGACCTATAACCAGTAAAATACACCTCAGTTTATGCTTTGGAATTTAACTTCTTAACCAATTTAAATTTAAACATTTAAAATAGTTTGCATTTTCTTTCTTTGACAGGTTACAAAGACAGAATTGGAGAAATTAAAATCCAGCTATAGGCAATTAATAAAAGAAATGAATTATGCCAAAGAGAAATATAAAGAAGCTTTAGCTAAAGGTATGGCAAAATTATGAAAAATGTTTACTTTAGTGATTTTTATTCTTACCATTTGAAAGTTATCTTTATAAGCAGTGGAAGGACTCCATTTAAAGCAGTTCACTATATAAAAACATCAGAATAAACCAAAAGAGACTAATTGTCAAACCGTGTAGCCTTACTAATTTTTTGTTGTTTTAAATGATTCAAAGTATTTTTGAAATAGTTTATACTAAATGAACTTATGTAGCATTTGTAATATAATGTTTAAAATTTTCTCTCTAACATCTGATTTACCTATTTAATTACAAAGTACTAAATAAGAAAAATTGGGTTGTATTTGTTTAGAAGCCTTTTAAAATCTTTTTATTTGTGGTGTTCAAAAGCCATTAAAACCACAAGATTATTTTTATAGCATTATGTTGTCTTCGTAGCCTAAATTTATGTTTATATTGTCCTAAAATTTCCCTAGGAAGTCTTAGAATTAAATGGGAAGAGAAGCATTTTTATGATTTTTTTTTTCCTTTTTGTCTTTTTTTACTGACCGGCAACGGGATCGCAACCCTTGGTGTTGCGCCCGCACCGCGCTCAGCCAGTGAGCGGGAACCGGTCTCCACGTGGGATCCGAACCCTCGGCAGGAGCGCCGCCACGCTCCCAAGCAGCGCACTCTCCAGTGTGCCACTGGGCCGGCCCTGCATTTTTATGTTTTAAACAGAGACTTATGCCATAGTTTCTTATTAGCCATTTATGTAATTTTGTGTCTAATATTTTTTAAATGTTAGATTTCAGTAGAGAATAAGCCTAGATTATGAACAGAGGCTTCTTTGGCTGTTGTTATAATTGGGCAATATTTTCCTTATGTTTAAATGTGATTAAACAGTGTTCATATTTAGATTTTCTTTAAATTATGGAAGTTGGTTCTTAAATTTACCATTCTATTGTATTAATACATTTTCTCTTTGTCTTTTGTTAGTTATATATTCTCTTGTAATTTTGGGGGATTAAAGCAAGTGAACAACTCCTCCATTTGTTTGTGTTGTGCACAATGAAAATACTGCTGTTGTTATTCCCAGTAATTAGAAGTGATACTGATTCAGATGCATTTCTCCCTTCCTCTCTTTCTTCCTCACTTTCTCTCTCCTTTTCCCCTCCTCCTGTTTCCTCAGCGTTCTTCCCCCCAGCATTCTTCCTCTCCCTGTCCCTCCGCCTCTCTCCCTCTTCCTCATCGGTGTTGCGCCCGTACCGGGGACCGGCAACGGGATCGCAACCCTCGGTGTTGCGCCCGCACCGCGCTCAGCCAGTGAGCGGGAACCGGTCTCCACGTGGGATCCGAACCCTCGGCAGGAGCGCCGCCACGCTCCCAAGCAGCGCACTCTCCAGTGTGCCACTGGGCCGGCCCTGCATTTTTATGTTTTAAACAGAGACTTATGCCATAGTTTCTTATTAGCCATTTATGTAATTTTGTGTCTAATATTTTTTAAATGTTAGATTTCAGTAGAGAATAAGCCTAGATTATGAACAGAGGCTTCTTTGGCTGTTGTTATAATTGGGCAATATTTTCCTTATGTTTAAATGTGATTAAACAGTGTTCATATTTAGATTTTCTTTAAATTATGGAAGTTGGTTCTTAAATTTACCATTCTATTGTATTAATACATTTTCTCTTTGTCTTTTGTTAGTTATATATTCTCTTGTAATTTTGGGGGATTAAAGCAAGTGAACAACTCCTCCATTTGTTTGTGTTGTGCACAATGAAAATACTGCTGTTGTTATTCCCAGTAATTAGAAGTGATACTGATTCAGATGCATTTCTCCCTTCCTCTCTTTCTTCCTCACTTTCTCTCTCCTTTTCCCCTCCTCCTGTTTCCTCAGCGTTCTTCCCCCCAGCATTCTTCCTCTCCCTGTCCCTCCGCCTCTCTCCCTCTTCCTCATCTTCTCCCCAATATGTACTTGGTCTCCCTCTTTTCTTGCCATCCCACACTCCCCCACCCCCCATTTACTTTATGTTTCTGCTTTTTGTAGTGTGGCTATTCCTTTTTTAAGGAAGATGAATCCGTGTTCACAGTTGTCTTATTTTTACTTATTTTACTTTTTTCATGTAACTGAACCAATATTTTGAGATTATGGTCTCTTTATTAATGTAAACATATCTTATAAAATGCTTTTGTAATTAAATTATTTTAGTGAAGAAAAGAAAAAAAGGCTTAGTGAGAAGATCATAGGCTTTGGAGTCAGTCTTGGATTTAAGTTCCAACATCATATGATTATATCATAGATTTTCAAACTTCATATGTGTAATAATTATTCCTTTGTTATTTTTAAGACTGCTTTAGATAATCAAGAAGTATTTAATGAGTACTTGCTGTGTTTAGGTTTTGAGATTCAAAACAATATTTCCTTGGCATTCAAGGAACTTACAGTCTAGTTGGCATTCTAACTTGAGAACTCCAAGTCTCACCCTCTTTCAAAATTTAGCTTTTTATACAAGAGATCCATTGCCAAACTCTCAAGAGTAGTTTAGAAGTAGTTTTGTCTTTAAGCATTACTTCTTAATCTGTCAAAATGGTTAATTTTATAAAGTCGGTTACTTCATACCTGGATAGCATTCTCAAGTTAGTTAAAATATATTATAAATATTCATATCTAACTTCACCCAGAGTAAGTGGTGACTTAATCCAACTGTATTGTAATTCAACTCTGCTATGTATGTATTTCACACTAGGTTTGTATCTGTTGGAGTATGATTAGTAAGAAAAAGAAATACATAATTACTCTTAAGTCTTTGATATCTACTTTTAATGATATAGTTTATTTTTTTTAAAAAAATGAAACTTAATTCTAATCTCATAATAAAGTTTATATAATTTTTTATACTTATATTATAAAAAATTATTCATAGATAATAACTGTTCTTTATTGCTTTTGATCTAGATGCAATACCATTTAGTGTTGTATTAATAATAGGAAGGCAAGGAGAAAATGTGAAGAACTTTTAATTGATTTTAAGAAGTGAATCATTTAACTGAATCTCCTTTGTTAACGTACACGAGTTTGTGTGCATTCGTCTTATTAAAGGTATTAGTGATAGTATTTTCCTATTTTCAAGAATTTGAATTCTCCCATTAAATCCTACAGAATATATACTTATTTTTTAATTAAGTGCTTATGCATCTATTTTACATGAGACTTATGTAAATCTTTCTTTTATAATCAAGAGTATGTTTATATTCATATTGAAATTAAAACTATAAAATTTGTATTTTTGAAACTTCGTTTCTGTCTTCAGACTGCTTCTTTGTTTATGGAAGCAGAAGTCCTTTATTAGTGAAGTTATTTACTCTGTATAAGGATGATGAACTGTGATGGCAAATTTTTCCAACATTTATAGACTTTATGTGAGAACCTTAGTTGAGTGAGGTGGGCCAGACCAGGGCACTTCTGCTATGGGCTCTAGAGACTGCTAGGAGCTGAGAGTAGATGTCTAGATATGGGTCTGGCATCCAGAGTCATTACTTTAGACATGGGGGGCCAGACCAGGGCACTTCTGCTATGGGCTCTAGAGACTGCTAGGAGCTGAGAGTAGATGTCTAGATATGGGTCTGGCATCCAGAGTCATTACTTTAGACATGGGAGGTCTTGGAAAAGCTTTTTAAAACTCTGGTCTCACATAGAGCATCCAGCTGGAGAAGACAAGGACTTGGGAAGACAAAGCCCAGAAATAATTCCTATAGTAAGGGATAAATTCTGGATTTGATCAAGAACTGGGTTTGGACTTACGAGGTCTTGGAAAAGCTTTTTAAAACTCTGGTCTCACATAGAGCATCCAGCTGGAGAAGACAGGACTTGGGAAGACAAAGCCCAGAAATAATTCCTATAGTAAGGGATAAATTCTGGATTTGATCAAGAACTGGGTTTGGACTTACGGGCTCAGTTCCTACAACTGTGGGTTCAGCAGCAATAGTAGTAGACCAGTAGGTTAATGCTGAAATCCCAAACTCCTGACCCCTGCTGTATAGATTACACTAAATATTTAAAATTTTGAATGTTAAAATTTATATCCAAAGGAACACTGGCTTTTATTCAGTATAATATAAAGTATAACACTCATTTGCAATATGAATATAGCATCATTTTAATTACTATTTTTTTGTAATAGACCTTAAACTTAAACTTGCTTTGCTGTGTGCTGTGTTGAGGGAGCAAATATAAATAGTATTTAGTCTTAAATTGACTTGGACTAATTTGGACATTAGTCTGCGGATTATTATTTATAATGTATGCTGAGAAAAACCAAAATAATTTTAACTTACTGAGCTGAAAATAATTTATAGGCATTTCTTCCTTTTTCCCCCTATACTATCAACAAATATTTACTTTAGATACAGAGACCCTTTGATACAAAGAAGTACACAAGGTGGTAAATAGATCCTCCCTATCGCTGTCACCATCCCTATCAAACACATACACACCCACAGTTGTTCATGGCCAATGTCAGTGCTCTTTCTCTTGTAGACAGAAAGTCACTTCTGGCAGGTTTAATAAAAATGCAAATGCCTCTTAATTTACCTTCAGAATGAGTAAGAAAAGGTGACCAAGAAGAAAAAGAACCATAGGTGAATGATTGTGGCTCCCACAAATCAGGTGAAGAAAATGGTTCTGAGTGAGCTAAAAATGAAAAGAATCCTGGGCAAATGTGAAGTTAAAAGTTAAAAGGGACTGAATTAACCCAGGATGAAAGAGAAGAATCAAGAAGTTAGGCTAGGCAAATGCCTGAAAACTAGCCAGGAAGACTGCTCTGAGTGAGGAAAAGGGAATAGAAAGTATCTCTAAACACCAGCTAGGAAAAAGAAAAAGTAACTCAGAAGGCAGAAAGTAGCCACTAAGGGAACTCTCTCCTCCCCTTTCTCCACCCCAGGTTCTAAAGGAGTTAATCTAATTTTTTTCAGGAGTGACTTTAATTTATGCAGATTGAGAAAGTGTCACCTCCACCAGCCCCACCAAACATCCCATCATTTTATTT